CCCTTCTGGTAACCCCAGAAGTTGGATGCAAGAGATCACTTTCAGAGTGATAATCTGGCTCAATAATATCAGTTGAAGAAAGCTGGGAAATGTCAGTTTTTCTCTTCCCACGTTTCCTACTTGATTTCTGAATTTGCCACTCAGTGGACAAAGCATTCGTAGCCTCATTGACAGTCATAGCATCATTGACAGTTTGGCTAGTCCTAGTATCTTGAAATAAATTTGTGCTAGTTGCTGCAAGTTCACATTCCAAAATGGGAATGTGAATAAAATCATCATAATCATCATTTAAAAGAGAGGGTTGTTGGGATACCGTAGGGGGTAGCTGCTCAATATCAGTTAAAATAAGAGAGGCAGGTGGAAGAGCAGGTAGGGGAGGCAGAAGTTCAGTAGAATCATGTTGGACAGGGATGGGTAGCTCAATATGGTCCCCAAAGCAATTGGTAATCTCAGTGGTAGTGGCTAAATTAGGAGGGGTTCCAGAAAATTCTTGGTAATCATGGGTAATCAACACAGGGGCAGAGGAAGTAGAAATTGGATCAACATGAAGGTTATCAGTGTAGCTAGGGTGAGGCAAGGAAGGGGGTTCAGAGGTAGGGTGGGGGATGACAGGGAGGTGGGGAGGGTCCTGTATTTCAGAGCACACAACAATAGCAAGATCGGCAGAGGGAAGAGGGTATAAAGGAGGAGGAAGCTGTGTAAGAGGAATATCAGTACGAGGATTTTCAGTATAAGGCTTCTCAATTGGAAGTGGGCACAGATTTAGATGTAAACAATAACATACTGAAGAATTAGGACCAAACATTGCACAGTAGGAACAGTAAGGGGGGTGAGTCCCCATAACGACTTTCTGTCAGCAGCCCTTATGGTTGGGTCCAATCCAAACTTCATCAATATATATATATATATATATCATTAATTTTATTAAAATGTCCAATCCTTAAATTTCATTACATTGATTGGTTGTCACGGGTTCTATTCCCGGTGGCGCGGGGTTCTCGAATATTTAGACACATGACGCCAGACCCCCATCATAGGGTTGTAGCTCATAAACAAATCAATATTTGGGCATCTGTCAAATACTGATATATATATATATACTCATGAGTATTATTTAAAAAAAAATTAATTGAAAAAATTAATTGACTACAAGACTACTACAAGACTACACATGATACCTGATTAGGGTTGTCAAAATGACTCTTTGTTCGTGAACAACTCGTGTTCGGCTCGCTAAGCAAACAAGTCGAACACGAGTACACTTTTTGAGCTCGAAATATAGACGAGCCAAACACGAGCTGAGCCTGGGCTCGCTCGTGTTCGGCTCGTTTACACCCCTAGGGACAGACACGAGAAGTTATTCAAGTTCTCTTCCATTAATTTCAATCGACCTAAAAAATTATTTTCATTTGGTAAACAAACTTCTTCTAATATATTTTCTTGTATTGTCATGAGATTTTTAAAGGAGCTTCGCTTAAACAAAGCCTGAGATAGGAGAAACACCAAAGGAGAAATTACATCCACGATATTTTTAAAGGAGCTTCGTGAACGAAGCCTGAGATCAGAGAAATGCCAAAGGAGGGATTGCTATTGCAGAACGCACTTGACAGCTACGCACTTGACAGCTTTATGTTTGGGTCAATTCATATGTATATACATTTACAGCATCTAAATTTTATTTTTTATATTTGTGTCATCCCAATCTTTCATGTCACATTAAAAATATTATCATTTTAATTTAAAAAAAATGAAAGTTCACATTTATGTGCACATATAAGGTTGTATGCATGTAAAGATTGATGTGTAAGTTTTAGATATATATGTCCAATGACAGAGTCAAACTCAAAATAGGGGCAAAGCTCTGCGGGAGGAATAACAAAGGTGCAGGACGAGAACACTGTCACCAGAATATTGTTTGGCCATATGGGGTACAAATCTACGTGTGGCATACGTCCAATTCTTATGTAGTTAGATATTTACATACCTAACACCAAATATTTGCTTTTTATATTTATATCATCCAAATCTTTTATGTTCCATTAAAAATACTAATCAATTTTAACTTCTAAAAAGTGAAAATAAATGGATAAGGTGATATGCATGTAATACATGAAATTTAGGTGTTAGATATATAAATACATATGAATGAGAAAGCAGTAATGAGAGTTTAGTAGGGAAGACAACGATGGGACTAACAAGACTACAGAGAAAGAGGAGTTTGTAAGACTAGGGAATTTAAGTTATGTTTGTCCAAAATCCTAAATAAAAAAAGAAAAAAGAAAAAAAGATTTAGAATTTCATAAAAAATTAATTGATTTGTTGACAAGCCAATATGTTGAATATTATCAACACTAACATAAGCTCATATGTTATAATTATGATAGTGATTAAGGGGAAACTCAATTACTCTTTTGTGAAAAAAATGGTTGTGAAAATAAAATATTGATGCCACTCTTCTTCTCTTATGACAATTTTTCCTTAGTTTTTGACTTTTGTATAGCCAAATGCAGTCTTATCGTAATCAGGACCAAGACATGGACAAACCCCCAAAATTCCTCAGCTTCGCTATCCATCCAAGGCTAACTGGTTGTCAAGTACTAACTGTCGAGTACAAATTGTCGAGTGAGCATTACTCGTCCATCTTCCATGCTAAACTCGACCATTCGACAAAGCGACTTGATCAGCTCCATGGAGATCAGTTTAATCAAAGGGGGCACAATTCATTCTAAGGCCAAATTAGCTTAGGGTCAAATTATCTCAAGGGTCGAGCAGACTAACAAAGATGTGACCCAATGAATGTATGAGGAACGGATAACGAGATACAACACTGCTAAAGAATAACACACCAGCGATAATATTAACTATTATGTTAATGACAGAAGAAGATAAAAAAGCATAAGTCAGAGATGCCTTGAGATTTGTGTGCAAAAACTATATGTTTATATTATATGAGAAATCTTTTATAAATAGAGGAGGATTTATGCAACAAGTCACAATTGATTAATCCGCGGCCGTTGTGTCACTAACTTTTTTCTTCCTTGGTGTGTACAATGATCCACTTCTCTTTTACTCACTCTATTTCTTCTTTGTAACTATTTGCTTGAGGTGTGAGCTCGCAGGCATATTGAAATTCAACATCCTTTTTTTCTCTTCTATCTTTTTTTTATATTTACTAGTTACGAGATGTCGAAGGCCATTAATTTATTCCACTTTGTAGGGTTGTAGTATAACATAACAAAGGTGAAGAATTGAGTATGAATGAAGTTTGAGCTAAATAATCATCTTTTTGAAACATTGAATATGAATGAATCTTAAGTTGATAATTAGATCAATACTAAAAATTTGGAATTTAAAAATGATGTGTGTCGGAAGATTTGTAGCGGTAGAGTAATAAATTTAGTGTCTTAGCATTGGACAAAAATCTAACACACAGGTAAAAGAGAAGTAAGCACGACGAAACACCTTAATTTTTTATATGAAAAATCCAAAAAAAGGAAAAAATCATGGAGCTTAGCATTGTTGAAATAATCCACTATGTAGTTATGAGTATACAGACACACACTTCTCCTGAATTAGGAAAGATGGAATTACAAAGTTGATATACAAGTGTAGTTCAACAAAAATAGTTATAATGCGATGCAAAAGTCATTGTTGATTGATATAAAAGCAATAGCCCACCATGAATATTGCGGACAGTAGTTGTAGCACTAGCTTGTCGTAGATGCTATGGTTGAAAGTTGTCGCAGTAGTTTATCATGTAAGTTGATTCAGAAGCGTCAGTTGGCTATGAAGGCACTAGTAGGGAGCTACAACACTTGTGAGCCATGTAGGTCGTAGTTGGTCTTGCAAGCTGTAGTGGTGAGCTACGATAGCATTCGTATGCCGCAGAGGCTAAAGTTGGGGGTTCCATGAGTTGTGTCACATAGGTCATAATGAGGAGCTGCAATAACGTTCGTAGGCCAGTGACGCTGGAGTTGGGATTTGTGTGAGCTGTGAACCACGTTGAGCATAGTGATGAGACGTGATAACATCTGAAGGTCATAAATGTTAGAGTTTGGAGCTGCATGAACTGTGGACCACATAGGTCGTAGTTGGTCACGTAGGCTATATTAGTGTGCTACAATAACGCTCGTAGGCCACTGAGGCTAAAGTTGGGAGTTGCATGAGTTGTGAATCACGTAGGCTATAGTTGTGAGCTGCAATAACGTTCTTTGGTCATAGAGGCCGGAGTTTGGAGTTGCATAAGTTGTGAGCCACATAGGCCATAGTTGGTCACATAGCCTATAACAACGAGTTGTAATTACGTATGTTGGTCGTAGAGGCCAGAGTTAGGAGCAGGTAGACTTAGGATTATAGTGACTTGGGATGACGGGTCTGTGGTACGCTGACTCAACAACATCAACCTCTAGCTGCCAGAAGCCAATTTTGCATAACCTTCATTTTTTCTCTAAATTTAATCATTTTTTGCTCCTTTCATCACAATCATTCATTTTAATCATACCTACAAGAAAAACACATAAATACCTTCCATTAAAACGCAACATCATAAAAAAATAGGTATAAAAATGTGTACAAAAATATTATATATTTTAAGTGTATCACACAACTGCAGCTGCGCCAAACAGACCCTCACTCTTAGCCAAGATAAAACACAAAAGCCCAAAAGGCTTTAAGAAAACAACACTTTCTTGTGGTTAAATTTTTTAACTGTTTAACTGCAAATCCAATGATTAAAAATAACCTAAAAGGAGAGTTTCTTCGCCCATCTGTTTAACTGCAAATCCAATAATTAGAAATAATCTAAAATGAGAGTTTTTTAATAGTTAGAAATAACCTAAAATGAGAGTTTATTCGTCTATCTATTTAACTGTAAATTCAATAATTAAAAATAACTAAAAAAGAGAATTTTCTAATAATTAGAAATAACTAAAAGGAGAGTTTCTTTGCCCATATGTTTAACCCCAAATCAAATAATTATAAATAACCTAAAAGAAGGAGAGTTTCTTCGCCCCCGGTGACTCCGACCAAAAGGAGAGTCCATCCCCCATCCATCTAAGCCTTCCTCGTCTCCGGTGAAACTAGATCTGAAGATGGCGGAGCAATGGATTTTAGATTGGGCCGAAGAGCTCCAGCGTTCACTTGACGCGCTGGATCAAGAGCTATCTGCCAAATCCATCTATCGCGTTCCCAAAATCCTGACGGACGTCAACAGCCAAGCCTACGAGCCCCAGCGCGCCTCTTTTGGCCCTTACCACCATGGCTGCCTCCGTCTCCGCCCCATGGAGCAACACAAGCATCGTGCCCTCATAAAATTCCTCCGCCGCATCGCTAAAGCCTCCAAAACCCTCAGAGATGTAGTCGCGGCCATGAGAGATGTGGAACCCCATCTCCTCGCTTCCTACGACAGCCTACACATCGAGTACGAAGAGGAAGACTGCTCGGAACGAAGCCGTTTCAGCCACCGCGACTGGCGCAAGGAGACGGACGAGTTTCTTAAGCTAATGATCGTCGACGGCTGCTTCGCCTTAGAGGTCATGCTTGTCGAAAAGAGGTCCGCCGCAGGGGAACAGAGCGATTACGACTCTCACGATCGGGTTTTTGGAGTGCAAAACAAAAACTACGTGTTTCCATATCTCAAGAGAGACATGCTTCTCCTTGAGAACCAGATCCCGCTTTTAGCCCTAACTACTTTGGCAGCTATCGATGGTTCAGGGGTAACCTTCTTATTAATTAGCTTATCTAATTTTATAATTTTGTATGCTCAATCAACCATTTGACTTAACTTTTGCATATCAGATTGGAGATGTGAGTACTCTAATCAAAACATTCTACAACGTCTCTTCTGATTCACCTGATTATGGGTTAGCTGACGAGGGCTTAAAGGGGCCAACCGTAGAGAGCTTTCACATCTTGGATTTATACAGAAAGATTTTGACAGATTATGGAGAGTACTTTCCGAGCTATGAGGCGAATGTACAGTCAGCTACAAAACTCAGAAATGCTGGAGTATCATTCAGTAAGAGCAATACCAAGTCCTTTAGAGACATAAGTTTCAATGACGACGTTCTATCTCTGCCGCCGCTAGAAATTGATGACACCACCGAGTCATTGCTGCTCAATCTCATGGCCTTCGAAGGCTTGCATGCGACTGCAGGCAACGAAGTGACTGCATATGCCTTCTTTATGAATGGGCTCATCAATACTGCCGACGATGTTGCTTTGTTGAGGAGTGAAAAGATTATTATGAATCGGGTGGGTTGCGATGTAAATGTAGCCAACATGTTTAATAGGATTACAAAGGAAGCAACTTTGACTTTTTTTAAAGTTGATATACAAGTCGATGTGAATAGTAGGCTGAATAATTACTGTAAGAAAAGAAAAGGATGCATAGGTGCAGGGAGAGCTTTGTGGAGACATATCTTAAGAATCTTTGAGTCTTCACCTCACTAGGCGGTTTACTTCTCATGGCTATAGTTCAAACTGTCTACACGATGTTGCAGTTTTATGAAGCCTAGTCATGATTGTAGAAGTTTTGAGAAATTTTTTGCTTGTATTATGCATGTCATCTTAGTTTTAAACTATTGAGAGTTCAGCTTTCAATTATGAGATATTGAGTTTATGATTTTGTTATCTCAGGTTCGTGATTTTGTACCTGCGTTGTGTGTGTGTTTGTGATTAAATTTATTAAAATGTCTAAAAGATGAGAGAATTTCTACTTAGGTTCCGATGCTTGTTTGTTGATTTTGTAAGATTTATCAGTCTATTTTTCTAGTTCCTGAACGATGTTTGATCTTGGAGAATGGTTTTGACGTGTTACAGTCTATGAATTTCTTATTGTAAAATGATGGAAAGTTTTCTCATGGAGAATCTTGTACTCATATGTATTGACGTGCTACTGTCTATGAATTTCCTATTGTAAACTTTCCAAAAAAAAAAAAAAAACCGGGTGAAAATTCTGTAATTCAAAAACTATGGCAGCATAATGATACCTTTCCACTATCTATCCACTCCTCTATAGTAGAAACGAGAAGGAATGCTTTAACTTACTGCACGATAGGAATGCGTTTGCATGAGTCTGGAGGAGGTTATTGGAGACGTAAAGAATATGGATTATTCGCCATACGATCGGTCGATCTCTTATAACGACCGATTGAAGAGAATGAACGGCCCTTCAAACACTATACGGTTGCATTAGTACTTACTTCTAGATGTTTTGGATTCAATTCTCTTGTTAAAGTTGATTGAATGCAGGCGGGGAGAGATGGAGCAGAGGCTGGCTAATACCTGGCATATGGCCATTAATGAGAAGAATTTCATAGAGACGGCACTCAGTGAAAACATCCGAGTTGATGGCCGCAGTACGTTTGATTACCGCCAGTTGACTATCAAGTTCGGAAGGCAAGCTTCTTTAGTTTCATTAATTCATTTAACGCTGTTTTTATTACTTTCTTAGATTTATTTATTTTTTTTCCAGTCACGTTGTTCTGGTAATTTAAATGGTTTTCTTGCCATCTAATGCAGCATAAAAGCAACTCCAATGGATTTGATTTTAGGAAGATTTACATACATGCTACTCAATTTTTATGTATTTACATATCTAACACCTAAACTTTTACATATCTAACACCATATCTAACACCTAAACTTTTATTTACATACATGCCACCTTATCTATGCATGAAAGTTATCACTTTTTGAAAGTTAAACTAGTGGGATTGTTGATGTGATATGATAAATTTGGTTGGTATAAAAGTAGAAGGGAAAATTTTGGTGTTAGATATGTAAATACATAGGAATTGGGTGGGATGTCTGCAAATGCCCCAATTTTGTTGGTTTGCATAAAAAGAAATTGATTGGCGTGTATCATAAACAATATGAAGGCTTCAGGTGGATATTGTGGGTGTAGAATCTACTTGATTTTATGGTTGATAAGAACTAGCTTATACAGCAAACTCAAATGTTGCTGTTGGGGTTGATTAAATTTGCGACTTTTTTGTTAAGAAAATTAAGAGATTCAACTTGCCCTTACGGCAAAATTTATGAAAATTTTATCAAAGGCTACTCACTTATCTCATTTAAATCTTTTATAACTTCAGATTAATATGTGGCTATCTGCTTTATCCATAATTGTGCCATTGTTACACGTACAATAATGCATATATGAAAATCTACTTATGACGGTACAAGATATTTATGATAATCATTCAAGTTAAGCATTGATTTGTGTTTTTCCCTAATGGTTGCTGGGCATTTTATCAAAATGAATTTACAGAATTTGGTTTAATGGTGCTAATTTTGATGGAATAAGATTTATTGAATTTTGTTAGGTTATGGGGCATTCATTGACTTGGGTTATATTTGTTTGCTTTGTACCTTGACAGTAAGAGAAAATTTTTCTCAATTTTTACACTTCCATGAATCATAAAGAACATTTTCATTGGAAATAAAATGGAATATTTTTGAATAATTGTTGTTTCCAAATGAAACTATTTGAAGTTTAAATTAACAAAAAGTTCCCAATACAATTTACTTCGACACCTATTAAGCTAAATTCAGTTTTGTTTCTTAAATATTAAGTAAAGACTTATTGAAACCATGTTTATGCTTAGGAAAAGGGAACTGGAATGAACTTCCTGCCTTGCCTGCTTACATTTTTTATATTTACAAATATACTGTAAATGCCCTTTTACTAGGTTGAACACTGTGTTCCGTGAAAAGCTTATCATTATAATTTAAGAATTTTAGCAATTACCTTTTTCTTGAAACCTTTTAGCCACCTTTAATGATTTTTTCATCTCTATTTTAGCACCTTCCTATGATCTTTATGCATGCAGTGCTTTATCAGGAAGCATAAAAATTGCACAACTCGTCATCTTATTCAACCATTAATTATGACACCATATATTTGTTTGTAATAATCTTTATTTATTCATCTATCAGTTGGGAGCATGGGTGTAAATAAGTTAAGTTGAGCTCGATTCCTTGCTAACTTGACCTCTGCTTGTCTATCTTATGGTATACTCCAACTTGAGCTTGAGCTTGAGTCAAGCTCATATATTGAAATCGAGCTTGGCTCATTGGATCAACTGAAAGCTCCACTTGACTCATGAGTTTGAGTTTTGTCCATGAATTATCGTAACACTTGAAACAAAGAAGCAAGAAAGTCGTGATATAAGCTAGTTGGAGAAGGCATTGACCTTTAAAGCCATTACAGGAGTTGAAGGCTTTGATAGTGAAATGAAAAGGAAGCTTGATGGAGATGGAGGGTACGACCCTAATTTTGGGTTTCTAGATGGTGTATGATCGATTAAGGATAGGGGATTTTGTAAAATTTGAAAAAAAAGGTGAAACCCAATGAAAAAAAATTATCTGGGGAGAGAAAAATGAGGAAGCTACGATTTTGGGGACAAAATGCTGAGGAAAAGAGGTCTACCGACTAGAGGGGGGATTTACGACTTTTGGGGATGATTCACCACCTATTCTTGATCAAGCTATAATTACAATTTTAGGGAGTAGAGAATACAATACTTCAAAAGTGAAAACCAGAGGAAGCAATCTCTATGAAGATAAAAATTGAACCAAATGCGTCTAATAGGTTTTAGAGCAACATATTTATTATAAAGAAGTAAAATAACCCAAATTCACCTCTAAATATGGTAAATAGGCTCTAAGTAAGCCGTGCAAGAGAGGTGGGGGGGTTGATTTTGTTGCCACGTTCTTATACCAAGCGGACGTTTACATCCTTCACTCTGAATAGGAGGGACTTTGCTTTCATCACTAAAAGCATTTTGATTCCTGTACTATGACGACAAATCAATAAAATTGAATGTAGCTTGAGTGTTGTTGTCACTTATGTGCTAGTTTTGTACGCATTGTCATGGATTCTCTTGACAACCTTGAATGAACTGTCAACCATCGATTTCAGCTTTCCAAATTACCATGCAAGATATCTTTCAAATTTTTAATATAATTAACATCAGGTTATCTTCCTTGAAGATCATAACCTTTTTGGAGTTGTTAGTTTGCTTCTGGAAGTTGACATTCTACTTGTTTATTTTCTTTTTCATCTAATTATATGAGGAAGATATGAATTTTTCTGGTGATGATCTATGTATCAGTTTTAAGCTTAGTAGCTGTAGGAGTAGACACCAACTCTAAAGGTGTGAGAGTTCTACCTTTAGAAAATCTTAAAGGAAATATGACCTATAGGCTAACCAGTGAACATATTGTATGCAAACACATCATGAGGAAGAATCAAGCTTACGTTCTGATTTTCTCGAATGGAAATCACCTAAGGTTGTTTTCTATTTTATGATTAATCATCTCCATCTACTTATCTATCAACGGTGGACTGTTGAACTGATTGGAGTTTCATGCCCATTTTATCTCCTAAGGTCATCTAGAAATTATTCACTTACTTCACATCTATATCTGAAGTTATGGTCATGGTGAGTTCAAATGTGTAGCATATTTGTTGGATACAAAGTAAAAAATCTCAAAGTGCTAGGTTTGAACGTTCACTCTGCCTGAAAAGTTATGGTTTTAGGCATACCATGAAGATAGACTATCTCCCCATAATTAAAGATCAATGATATGTGAAGCATCCATCACTCGATGACATATTACAAAAATGTGCTAGTGTAGAGAAGTAGTTTGCCACCATAATAATAAAATTTTCTCATTATTGTGTTCGGGGTAGACCCACTACGAAGTCCATGCTTACATGCACCTATGGTAGATTTTGAGAGGAAATGAAGTATAGACCTATTTTTTGCCCTCGGGTTTTAGCTAGGTGACACATGTTGTGCTGTTTAACATGCCTCTCCATCTCCTGTATCAACGTTGGCCTAAATAAATTTGAACTTAGCCCTCAGCTCTTTTAGTTAGATGATACATCTTGTAGGAATTTACTGCTTGACATGCTCACGTCTTGTATCAATCTAGGCCAAAAGAAATTCTTTCTCATTAAGGAAAGAGTATTAACCTCGCCAAAGCATCTTAACGCCCACTGCTTCTCCATTATAGTACTTCTATAAAATAGCCACCCTAAATGAACTTTAGTAATGCACAATTTGTTTTATAAGAACATATAATAATTAGATATGACATATGTGATATTAGGGTCTCTCTCGACAACATATCAAATTCTCAACTAAGTTCTCATTAGTGGCAAACAAATCCTTTAACACTTCAAAATCAGTTGCCTTCAATTGCATTAAGTAATTATGATTGGAAATTTTGCTTGAAGATCAATCTTGAAGAACATTGATCACTAGAAAATCAAGTTAAATTTTGGCTTGAGTTAGAGCAAGTAAGTCGAGCTATGAGCTAAGAGCTTGACTCAAATACTTTGCGAATTGAATTTGAGACTTACACGGATCACAACTTAGCCCGACTCAAGATTGTCTAAAATATTTTTATTTATAAAAAAATATTTTTATATGTATAAAAATTTGTTTAATATGGAATATTAAATAAATTTTTAGAATGCATAAGTGTTAGGATTTTTTAGATTTTTTGCAATTTATTTGTATATTAGTTTTAAGTTGACTTGTTTCGAGCTAAAATAGATTCATGCCAGCTCATTTAAATTTTAGGCTGATCGAGCACGATTCAATTTCTAGTTAAGTTGGCTCAAAATTGAATATGTGCCACAAGCTAATTTTGAGTCATATTGAAAACTTTTGAAGTGACCCTTGCTTAGCTCAGAATTAGATTGTTTACAACCCTATTAAAAATTGGCGACGGCTTAAAGCATTAGCTAACTTATTCTGACTCTTGTCATTGTGTTTAAGCACAAAATGAAAGAAATCTTGTTTGGAGATTCGTCTATTTTTCAACTTATTCTAACTGTTCAAGAATCTCAGTATTTCATGATTGTTGTAGAGAGTAAATTAACTGGCCTACATATAATAATTTCAAGAATTGATGACTCATTTTAGCATAATAATCCTTATTGTAAGTAGAATATATTCTACTTTAATCATTTGAAATTTTACTAATCAGAATGATAGGTTTCAAAATTCATTAAACTTTGCTCTAATCCCCACATTGGAAGTAAAATGAAAATTTGAATGGTTATAATGTGGGCCTGAGTGACCCGTTGCTTCAATGCATTAAAATTGGCCCATGTTTTATTTGACCATGCAAATCTTTTGACTTTAAGGAGCCTTGTAGTGTTGCAATAGAATTGAAGTTCCCAATGAATCTTCGGTAGAACGAAGTCATTCATGAAACTGATGCTTTTGAGTGCAAGAATGTGAGCTGAGCCAGTTCACGATAGCCTTTATCTTCATTGTGTTTATCTCAATAGCAATTATTGAAACAATATATCCAAGGAAGCACGCCTTTAGTGTTAGAAACTAATATTTCTATCACGACCCGACCCGAGCTTGAAA